GCCTTTAACTGTTAACAGGTAAATGGCAGAAAAGATGGGGCAGTTAATAACTATATGCCAAGTCCCTACCACCACCTTTTCGGGGTATAAAAGTTAAACCCCCCCACCCCGGTCATCTGATAATGTGGCATAAAGACTTCGAGGACTTGAGAACATTTTATTTCTCAGATGCTACATTTCTAAACCGTTTTGTGTTTTATAAGCGGGGAGGTGCAAAGAAGTAAATAAGATCACAAGATTTCATTCTGTATCAATTAATCTGGAATTAATAAGAATCCAATCCCTGCTGGAGACTCCATCTGTTCTGCCATTCTGTTTCTGACAATGCCCAGCCAGATGCTTCCAAGTATCCCACAAACAAGACACAAAGGCCTTCCCCTGCTCCTTGACACCCACCAAAGGGATTTTGCTTCAGAACAGGGACAGCCCCTTAATCGTCATAGCTAAATGCCACAGTTCTGCTCTTGGAAATCCTAGCACAGATTAAAACTGGTCAAGTGCATATTCTAAAAGGAATGAGGTCAAATTATAACATTCACATTGCTCTACTCTTTTCAAACCTTTTTACAAAGAGTATCGAAGGCCCCAGTCACACAGGAGGTTTTTGGCCCGGAAGAGGGACGGATCGGGGGCGCAGCAAATGGGTGCGATCACACTGCAACATCTGGGAATCGGTGCGCACCTGTCCCCGATCCGTCCTTTCAGGCCTAAACCGTGCAGTGAAAAACCCCCAACGAAAAGGTAGCACCAACCGGAAACGCTGCAGCAAGCGCGGCCGTCGGATCACAAGAGCGCCCGTCTTCAGGAGCATTCGAGGCTCCCAGCCGAACTGCGCATGTGCACAACATGCGCAGCCGGCTGCCTCGCGCTCCCTTCTGTGGTTTTCCCCCCGGCATCTGATCGTGCCAGGGAGCAACTGCGCGGCGGCTCACGGGATCTGTCTGATCCCGCCGCCCCGTGTCTCTTTTGGTGCGACTTTAAAAAGCCGCACTTTGGCCGCATCAATTTCCCCTCTTGTGGCAGGGGACTTAGTAATTTTTGTAACAATTCAGTCACGTAGAGTGACAATAAGAACATAAGAGACGCCTATGTTGGATCAGGCCAAAGGCCCATCCAGTCCAACACTCTGTGTCACACAGTGGCCAGAAATACCAGTGCCATCAGGAGGTCCAGCAGTGGGGCCAGGACATTAGAAGCCCTCCCGCCGGCTTCTAATGCCATCCTAAGCAGGCTTTCACCTAAATCCATTGAAATCAATGGCTTTACAAGTTATAACCAATGAGTTGTAAAAGTTACATTAGCCGCTGGTTAGGATGGCTCCACTGTGCTTCTACCCCATATGGAACTGGTGATAAAAGCTGGGCAGTGTAGCTGTGGGACAGACTCTTCTGAGGTTCCATTCTGTCTGTGGGAGACCTGAGATATGAACTAGATATGGATCCCTCAGCTGACACTATTAACAGCTGTACTACAACAGCATTATCACTTCTTTATTCACACAAATCCAGATCGTGACAGATTTTTGCACTTTTTTAGGGGCCGTCAATAGAGCTGATGCTAACCATCCTGAATTTACTGTCCTTTTGTGTTTTAGATTGATTGTTTTGGGAATGTTTTCAAAATCAATAAAACCAATGAGAATCTTTCCTCTTCTCCCACAGTATTTTATGGAGAAATATGGACATACACACACCCAAGCAACTTCTTGTTTCTTCCTCTCTTTATAAGAACAACGAATGTGGATAAAGAATATTATGTGGTAATAAATCTCTACTTAATATTCTGAGATTTGTCAGACTAGTTTCTTCCTCTGCTTTGCCTTTATTCCTTTCCAACTCTCTTAAAATAATTACAATTGTAACCATTTCGACTGCCTTTTTAGTCTCTCTGCAATCTTTATTGTCACAAATGAATGCTTTACTGTGGCTGTTTCCCCCCCCCCCTCGTTTTTGTTAAAGGAGAATTGTGTTTTGCCTCTGCTATGGTAAAAGTGGGATCGCACACTGGGATTTCATTGTAAGATGTGTATTTGGGTTTCTCTTCATGATGATGGTGTCATGGTGAGTAACGGCTGCTAAAGGATTTTGAGATTATCATATACTCTCTGTATCACTCAAGGAAAAAAATAATTAAAGATGGTAAATCCCAAAGCTTAATGGCTGCAGCAGCTAAAGCCTCTGCTTAATCTTATATCTAGGCTGCATTTGACTGGCATCCTCACTCAGTTAGTTTTTCTACAATCACACCAATCCAATAAGTGTGATATTGGTATGTGCAATACCAATATTAGTATGTGCAATACTAACTAGCAAGCAGTAAAGATAGCCACCATCAAGGCTGCCTACTTTGGACTTGCAGAAACCATAACTTCTGTGGCAAACCACCCAATCAAAATAAACAGTGGAAGCTGTTGATGTCAAGTTAACAGCTAAACCCCAGACCGAAAGGGTTTAGGATGATGATCAAGTGCTATGCTGGTGTACTTCTGGGGGTCGTGAGAGTCAGTTTGGTGTAGTGGTTAAGAGCATGGACTATAAACTGGGAAAACCGGGTTTAAGAACATAAGAGAAGCCAATGTTGGATCAGGCCAATGGCCCATCCAGTCCAACTGTAGAACTTTGGGGATATATGCTGTTGGGTGGAGCAATGAAATACTTAAATTGCATATTGGGAGGAGTGTTTGTAGTGAGTGACTGGAAAAAAGTCAACCTGGGGATGGGGTGGAGCAAAGAGAGGCTTAGTCGTTTGTCTCTCCAAGGACTGGATCACTGAAAGGCCTCAGCTGAAGAAGCTTTTGTCTGGTGGGGGCCCTTCCTTGATGGACAGCACTTCTTCTGGAGGAGGTGAGCCCCCAGACATATCTGACTTTGAACTGACGCTGATTCCTTCTCTTGGATGGTGAGGAGAGAGGCCCTGAGAACTTCCCTTCCCACTGGAGGCCTGCTTCTGAGGGATTGTGACTGGACCAGCTCCAACAAGAGAACAGTACTTCTGGAACACTGACTACTGGACCTTTGGTTTGGGAAGGGAAAGGAGTTTGGGGTTGGGAAGTACAATACCCTGTGTGCAGACCTGTATTTTCCTTGTTGTATTAAATAGTTGCTTTACTTAAGCCGTGTGTGACTGGGAGGGGGTCTTTAAGAAAGGAGGCCCTAAGTCTTGCCCTTATTTCCAATGCCTGGGTTATACAACACTCTGTCACACAGTGGCCAAAAATACCAGGTGCCATCAGAAGGTCCAGAGGTGAGGCCAAGATTCCCCACTTCTCCACATGCAGCTGCTGGTGTGACCTTGTGTCAGTTACAAGTTCTTTCAGAGGAGTTCTGGAAAGAGCAGTTCTCTCAGAGCTCTCTCAGCCCCACCTACCTCACAGGGTGTCTGTTGTGGGGAGGGGGAAAGGAGATTGTAAGCTGCTCTGATCTCGTCTCTCTCTTCTTCTTCTTCTCTTCCAAGTTATGGCAGTGTATAACAAAGGTACACCTGCAGCATGCTGTGGCAGCATAGACCTGGGTGGCGTTAGGGCCACACTGTAGGCAGAGCAGGATTTGAACAAATTACTGCAGCCCAGGGTAGGACCTCAACACTGATATAATATTAACAGCAGTGAAATCCCTGACATAGCCATAGAGGACCACACAAAGGAAAGAATTAAGGGCCCCCCAGCCCCACATAGTTTAGGCTGCTGACTGTGCCTGCAGCCCATAGAGTCCCCTCCTAGAAGCTAGTCACAGCCTGACCAAGCCCTAGATGAAACCCAACTAGGATACCCACAGCTCTGATTATAGTATGTGCGGCATACATCTTTATCTCTCTGGCCCATGTCACATGTGCTGAGAATACTGAAGCTTGGGCTTTGGTAGTGAGGAGGGACTGTGGTTCAGTGGTAGAGCATCTGCTTGGCATGTAGAAGTTCAATCCCCAACATCTCCAGTTAAAAAAAGGATTAGACAGTAGAGGATGTGAATGACCTCTGCTTGAGGCCCTGGAGGGCCACTGCTGGTCTGAGTAGACAATACTGACTTTGATAGACCAAGAGTTTGATTCACTATAAGTTAGCGTCATGTGTGTTCACAAGACTTGCACACAAAGGGCATTTTGAACCACACAGAGAGGGGTAATTAGCACAAATCCATCAGCAAAAGGTTGGTCCTCACAAGCCCCACCCTTGCTGGGAGCCAAATCCTTGGTAGGAGGGGTTGGGGATGGCCCACTGTTTTCACATGTGCCAAATGAGCTGCAGGAGCATGCAAGTGCTGTGGGTGGACTGGCCGTTTTTCAGCCCTTGTGTATTGGCAACTATTTGCCTGGTCCTACAGATGATCTGGAGGTGCTGTGTGACAGTGAATTTTGGGACTGCTTCGACAAACTGGCTTTTTAAGAAACATATTTTTGAAGAAAGAATGGTGGGAAAACTACATTTATTTGCAAGTCGTGTGTCTCTTAGACAACACATGCCATTTATTTCAGATCATTTGCCCTGGACATGTTCCCCAAAGATTGTGATCTCTCTCCCTCTCTCTCTCTCTCTGAATTGAAACGCTCTGCCCATTCGTAAACAGTGATCTCTTCCTGCTCTTTAGGAAGGATTATCATTTAAGCAAACAAATTAACTGTATTTATGTTAGGAAAGGCTAGCTTTAACATACTTTATTAAAAGATCAGTCTCATATTAGCTGCATTTTCCTCAAGTTTTCCATTGTCTCTAATCCTTCCTTAACGACAATTCCAATTTGCAGAAGGAAGCCGGCTGTTTTCATGAGAGAAAGACAGCCGAAGACAGCCTTTTATTATGTATAGACAATACATGGCAACTCATGTGGTGTCCAACGTTGCTTCCTATTGGTTGGCTCTGCTGTCCATCAGGTGGATCCTGAGAATACTGGCTCAGGTTTCTTTGCTACACATGAACAGATGTGCTGGGTCTGGAGGGACAGATTGTTCTTTCAATGGAAAGCAACAGCACCTTTAGGCTTTTTCTTTTCTTTTTCTTTGTAGGCTCTACAGCGTCCGCGGACCAGTTGTTGGGAAGAATGGAGAGGAGGTTGGTGATTTCATGCCTTTGAATAAAAAGCATGGGTGTAGCTGAATGAATGGTGTGTGTGTGTGTGTGTGTGTGAGAGAGTGTGGTGTCTGCATGGTGGGGCTAGAATTTTTAAAAGGTAAAATAGGTAAGGAACATACTGTTTTATTTGTCTTTAAACAGTGCAGAATTGATGCAGAATGAAATTGTTTCAGAATTAACCATAGGATCTGCTGCATGCCATTTATTCAAAAGCAGGACTATAAACATCCGTGGGACTCCTCTTGAGAAAACTCGATTGTCTGTTGCTGATGAAATGAAGCATCTTTCCCTTGGTTTTATATCTAAAGACTGGATGGTAACAGTCTCTATTGCAATCCCCCCCCCCTTTGAGTTTGTGACTTCACCATCCTTCTGAAGTGTTAATAACAGAGATAAAAATAAAAGAGCATAGGCGTAAAACATACTCCCTAAAACACAGTTAAATGCAGGGTTGTAAACAAATTTCTGAACAGAAGTGTGTTATATAGAAGTAGATATACTTTCAGTGTTACTGGAAAATAAGACAATCCAGTGTAAGATCTGTTCATTCATGCAATACAAACAGGCTCTCAGATATTTCAGCAAGTGTTTGAGCCAAGGAAAGTTATACAAAGAAATCATTCTGGAGGGGAAAACAGCTCAGCTGAATTAATGTGCACTGTGCCTCACAGCTAGCAATAGCTGGCCAGGTAACAACGCTGAGGATCACCGTGAGTGATCAGGACTGTGCATTTAGGGTAACAGGGGCATGAGGTGATTTGCTTAAGCTTGTATTAAGAGATCTGTGGCTCAGTTAACTGATAAATTAAAACATAATGTAGCAGTTAAGTTGTTTGTTTGCTGTGATTGTGGAGTGTTCCCACACAATGACTATTTTTCTAATAAGGTATCCATGAAGTATGGTCATGTCCCTAGGTTAAACAAGACATTTCAGAGTATCAGGCCCTGGGTCCTAGCTTTTACTTTCACAAAAGCAAGATCATGCCTTTAAACCCAAAACATAACTTTGGTTCTTTTTATTTAGAAAGAGTCCTCCTGATCATCACTAGCCATCAGCTGGAAAGTAAGACAAATATAGCATCAAATAACCTTTCATGTGCTCAGTGTAATATAGATACAGTTGTAAATAAAGGAACTGGAGGAACAAGCAAAACTTCGAAAGAGCTGACCTTACAAACAAACCAAAGTCCTTTGTAAGAGTGTGTTCCTCAGCTTCTTAAAAAACCTATTAAATTAAGTTATTGGATCATACTTGCAAAAGAGCTCTGTAGTCCTAAGCATGTTGCACCTGCTGTTTTTTTAAAAAAAGGAATATATTCTTAAAACAAGGAATGCTTGGCAATTCTTATTAAAGCATTAGTGGAAGACATATTTGAATCTTAAACCCTAATTTGAACTATTTAGGAGAGGGAGTTGGAGTTACTGTTTCTGTGCTACCTTCACTACCCAAAGGTGTCTCAGAGCAGCTTACAAACTCCTTTCCCTTCCCCTCCCCACAACAGACACCCTGTGAGGTAGGTGGGGCTCTTGACAGAAACTGCTCTTTTTCAAGGACAGCTCTTATCCGAATTAGGGCTTGCCCAAGGTCATCCAGCCAGGAGGAGTGGGGAATCAAACCTGGTTCTTCCAGATTAGAGTCCGCGCACTTGACCACTACACCAAACTGTTGTAGCAAAAATGTCCCTGAGTTGCTGTGTGTGATATGCTCAAATTGCTGTCTTCAAAAAATTTTTTTTTGTAATTTTAGATCCCTCCCATAGCTACACCATAAAAGAACTCTAAGTAGGATCCATAAGAGAAGAAAGGGGGGCTATAAATACTGCAAATAAACTTGAGCCAACTCTCCTCTTTTTAGCATGTCTATAGGAGAATTAGAACATAGGTATCTTAATTTCCCCCCTTATTAACAAGTCTGAAGCAGGTATTTCTTCTATAGGACAACCCTGTTGGACCAGAAGGAGTCCTTGTGCGAGTGGAAGGTACTTCTGCTCTGCCTGCTCCAGGGACGGGAATTGGTGGTTTCTGCAGATTTTATATATATAAAATTTGGTTTTACAATGTTTAACATTGCAATACATAAGTAACTATTTTAGATCCCTCCCATAGCTACACCATAAAAGAACTCTAAGTAGGATCCATAAGAGAAGAAAGGTGGGCTATAAATACTGCAAATAAACTTGAGCCAACTTTCCTCTTTTTAGCATGTCTATATGAGAATTAGAACATAGGTATCTTAATTTCCCCCCTTATTAACAAGTCTGAAGCAGGTATTTCTTCTATAGGACAACCCTGTTGGACCAGAAGGAGTCCTTGTGCGAGTGGAAGGTACTTCTGCTTTGCCTGCTCCAGGGACGGGAATCTGTGGTTTCTGCAGATTTCCCAGGAACTGCAGCCTCGTGTGCTGCATCCCATGCATTTCCTGAGGGTCATTTGGCAGATTTCTAGGTGATGGGTGTGTTTGTGTGTGTGTGTAGGATTAAAATACCTAGGGAGGTATGAAAGATGAGCTCCTCTTGCAGTTCTTTGGTTCTTGACTGCGCTATTGAGAGCATTTCGAACATGAGGATGAAAAATTGGCATGTCTGGTATCCTGAATGCCCACCTGCATCCTGTGCAGATTCTATTTTGTTGCTAGCCCAAATGTTCTAGCAGGTTCAACGTGCAAAGCTTCCTGTCTTGGTAGGTTATCAGCATTGGTTGGAGATGATTCAGTTTGGAAGTGCCCTGAAGTTTATCAGTCATAAAAAAGAGAATATACTTGGTCATTAATAAAACAAATCTTGGTTGCTTAGCAAGAGGGATCCCTGCCAGCGACACTTGTGAATTGCTGGCACAGATATGCATACATTTCTGGATACAAGCCTTTTTGAACAGAATGGATGTGTCTTTTAATGTGAATGGAGATGTACACCAGTATCCAGGCTTCTGGTTCTTATATGCCATTAGCTGTCCACTGCTAAAAAAGTAAAGAGACGAAAGTTTTGGAATGATGGGAAAGTTAATACAAGAACCTGTTTGACTTTGGACTTTAGGCTACTTGATTTTCCATTTAAGCTTTAGTAAAAATCAGTGAATATCTTCAGCCCCAGTTAACCTAATGTTACAAACAGTTAATGTGATTTTTTTCCTTTGGCAGGGCTAATGCCATAACTACCTGTTTGACTGAATTAAGTTCATTTAAAATTTAGCAGTTTTCAAAGCCCATTCTTTAGCATGAACCTGAATAAGTAAGTCATTTCTTATTATCTTGGTGATGACTAATATAATTTGATAGCAGGCATTTACATTCTTTTTTACAGAGGATATTTACAGTCTGATATCACACAGTAATTAGCCATTTTATTTATTCATTTATTAATTTACATTTATGCATTTTACAGAAGGCTAGAATTATGCAAGTGTATAGTAGTCAACAACTGAATTGACCTCAACTGTTACCTGATACTGATCTTCAGCTTTAGATCTAGAAGAATGGAAGAGAAGACTCACTGAGACGAGGAGCTCACACAAATGGTTTCCTCTGGTTCTATACATGTAATTAGACAGGTGAAATCAACGAAATCAGATTGCAGGCTGCCTTTGGTCTAGTTAATATCACCACCAAAGGGAGACTCTGCACTGTTCTCCTTAAAGTTATATAAGTGCATATATGAGTGCACATATTTTAACACTAAAAAAATAAATTGAATTAAAAATTTTTTTAAATTGTTCTAAATGGGCTCTGGCCTGGGATGGGTGTATAAGAAATGTGTTACTTGTTAGTGCCAGTACCCATCAGACATCCAGAACAGTTACATCAGTTATGCCAAAGTTACACCAAAGTATACAAAAGTCTAAGACAGTATTTTACTTATTTATTTCTGCTGCCTCATCAGAGTCATACTCAAGATGGCTTACACTTCAAAAGAAGCAAGAAGAAAAGACTCTGAAACAAGCATGACTTTTTGAAAATGCAGTTTATTACTCTTATTATTTTTTTCCTTTTTTCCTTTGGTATATGTTAATTCTGAGAATTCTTAGGTGTAATAGCTGAATATCTTAATATATAAATAAAATAATAAAAATCCCCTATGGGGGGCATAAAAAAAAGATGGCTTACACTTAAAACATTATCACAGTATAAAAACAAGACATTGGACATATGTACAAAAATGCTGTTGAGTCACAGCTGACTTAGGGTGACTGCAGTAAGGGGCTTTCAAGGCAAGTGAGAAGCAGGGGTGGTTTGCTTTTGCCTTCCCCTGCAGTCTTCCTTGGTGGTTCAGCTTCCGAGATCTCATGAGATTTATTTATTTATTTATCGTACTTATATCCTGCTCTATCCCACGGTGGGCTCAGGGCGGCTCACAACAGAAATAAAAACAATAAATATATGATTAAAAACTAATTAAATAAAACAATATGGCAGCAAAGAAACATAACACCAGTTCAGAGCAGCCCAGTTCACTTCCTATTAAATGTTAGCAGGATGGTAGGCATCTGTAGGCCTACTATGGGCAGGGGAGGCCGAGATGGTAAAAATTCCACCACCTCAACCAAAGGTCTGGCAGAACAGCTCTTCTTTACAGGCCCTGCAGAATTGTAGCAAGTCCTGCAGGGCCCTGATCTCAATTGGCAGTGTGTTCCACCAGGTGGTGGCCAGGGCAGAGAAGGCCCTGGCCCTGTTTGAGGCTAAGTGGATGTTCTTCGGGCCAGGGATTACCAGTAAATGTTATTCAGTGGAGCGCAAGGCTCTCTGGTGAATGCCACACAAAAAACTATTCTTGTACAGAAGCAGACCATTAAAAACAAATGATAAGATACAACCCATCATTAAAGCTTGGGTTATTTTGGCCTGGCATCTAAAAGCAAGTAAAGTATCACCAGGAGAGACTCAAAGGGAAGGGAGTTCTAGAGGTGAGGTGCCACTTCAGAAAAGGCCTTGTCTCTAGTCACCACTCTCTTCATATTTGGTGGCCTGGGTAGCATGGAAGGAGATA